TATGCAACTTGGGCATCCGATATTAGACTTTGGCTTGAGAGTCGTGGGTATGTTGATCATCTTACTACCAAGGTAGATGATGTTCCTTCCAATGATCGTGTCCGTTGGAAGAAAGTTGATGCTCATATATGTATGGTTCTCAAGAATACCATCCAATCTTCTTTAAAACAAATTTTTCGATCGTATGGCACATGTTATGACGTTTGGGAACAAGCCAAATTATTATACACCAATGACACTCAACGTCTTTATGGTGTTTGTTACAATCTTCTTGATGTTATTGCTCCTTGAGATAAGGATCCTGTGGCAGATTATGTGGGTAAGATCCATGCTCTTTTCCATGAATTTAATGAGTTATTACCCCCTGCCTCGACTCCTGCCCAAGAATTAGAGCAACGATCAAAGTTTTTCATGGTTTTGATGTTACACGGACTTGCTGATAAATATGCCCCTGTTCGTGACCAGATTTTGGGTTCCCCTGTTACACCCAGTTTTACCGCTACCAGTTCCTCCCTTTTGCGGGTGCCATGTAAACCTCTCAATATTCCCCCTGTAGTTTCTAATGATTCATCTGCCTTGGCCTCTCACCGTGATGATCGTAATCGCTCTCACAAGCCAGGCAAAGGGCGTGTCAAGTGTGACCATTGTGGCAAACTAGGCCACAAAATTGACAAATGTTATGCTTTACATGGTTATCCTCGCCGATCTGCTGCAGTTGCTCAGACTGATTCTTCCGCACAATACTCTTTCACTTCTTCTCATAATTTACCCTCTGTTACAATGGTTAATGGGTCTACAACTTTAGCTCATGGTGTTGGAACGATTACTCTTTTTCCCTCGTTGTCCATTGATAATGTTTTGTATGTACCCGGGTCCCCCTTTAACTTATTATCCATTAGCCGTCTAACTCGATCTCTTGATTGTGTTATCTCTTTTACCAAAACTTCTGTTTCCCTACAGGACCGGAGCTCGCAAAGAGTGATTGGCACCGGATGTGAGTCACATGGACTTTATTATCTTCAACCTTCTCCACATGTTGGCACAGTTATGGAGTCTCCTTCTCTCCTTCATGCTCAGCCTTGGTCACCCCGATCTGCGCAAATTACAAGCAACTTGTTCCCAGCTTATCCCAGCTTGTCCAATTTGGTGTGTGAGTCCTATCGGTTAGGCAAACATAGTCGTACTTCCTTTTCTCGTAGTGTTTTCCAGACGTGCTTCATCCCCCTTTGCCTTAGTTCACTCGACATTTGGGGACCCAGTCGTGTTAAGTCTAATTTAGGTTTTCAATATTTTGTTACTTTTATTGATGATTTCTCTCGTTGTACTTGGTTATTTTTAATGAAAAATCGTTCGAGTTGTTTTCTATATTCCAAAACTTTTATCATGAAATTAAAAATCAATTTGGTGTCTCTATTCAAACTTTTCGAAGTGATAATGGCCGTGAATATCTTTCAAACTCGTTTAAACAATTTATGGCTTTTCATGGCATTCTTCATCAAACTTCCTCGTGCTTATACCCCTCAACAAAATGGGGTGGCCGAGCGCAAGAATAGACACCTTATTGAAACAACCCGTACCCTTTTAATTCATGGTGAGGTTCCTCAACATTTTTGGGGTGATGTCGTTCTTACCGCTCGTTATCTTATTAATCGTATGCCCTCTTCGGTTTTAGATAACAAAATTCCCCATTCTACTTTATTTCCTCATGACACTCTCCATCCTTTACCTCCGAAGGTTTTTGGGTCTACCTGTTTTGTCCACAATTTTGATCCTGGTCATGATAAGTTATCTCCTCGATCACACAAATGTGTTTTCTTAGGATTTACTCGATCCCAAAAAGGATACAAGTGTTTTTCTCCTTCTCTTAATCGCTATTTTGTGTCTCGCCGATGTCACCTTCAATGAGTTTTCCTTTTACTTTAAGGACCCTTCCCTACCTGCCGAGTCTCCATCTCGCTACAGCTTCCCATTCCCTGTTCTCATTGATCCTTATGTTGAGGACCATCCACCATTAGCCCCTCCTCCTTCACCACCCCTTCGGGTTTATAGTCGCAGACCTCGCCCACAACAGTACGCCACATGACTCACTCCCGGTGCCAAATACTCGCCTCCTCCGGCTCCGTCCACGTAGTCCGACCTTCCTATTGCCCTTCGTAAAGGTACGCGTTCTACTCGTAATCCTTCTCCACATTATACCGCTTTAAGTTATCATCGAATTTCTTCACCATTTTATACCCGTCTCTCGTCTATTTCTTCCGTGTCTATTCCTAAATCTGCCTCTCGAAGCCTTAGCCCACCCCGGTTGGCGTCAGGCCATGCTAGATGAACTCGGTGCTCTTCGGACTAGTGGAACCCGGACGCTTGTCCCATTACCATCTCGGAAAATCTGTTGTTGGTTGCAGGTGGGTCTTCGCTATCAAGGTTGGTCCTAATGGTACTATTGATCGCCTCAAAGCTCGCCTTGTAGCCAAAGGCTATACCCAAATTTTTGGGTTGGATTATGGTGATACTTTCTCTCCAAGTGGCAAAGATGGCTTCGTTCGTTTATTCATTGCCATGGTCGCTATTCAACAATGGCCTCTTTATCAACTCGGATGTCAAAAATGCTTTCTTGAATGGCGATTTGCAAGAAGAGATTTATATGGAGCAACCTCCCGGATTTGTTGCTCGGGGGAGTCTTCCGGATTGGTATGTCGTCTTCGCAAATCTTTATATGGCCTAAAACAGTCTCCTAGGGCCTGGTTTGGAAAATTTAGCAGCGTTGTTCAACAATTTGGCATGACTAGAAGTGAGGCGGACCACTCGATCTTTTACCGTCACTCGAATGTCGGATGTATCTATTTGATAGTGTATGTCGATGACATTGTTCTTACAGTGTAGTGACCATCATGGCATCTCTCGGATGAAACAACACCTTTGCCACCATTTTCAAACCAAAGATCTTGGCAAACTCGGATATTTCTTGGGTATTGAGGTAGCACAATCTACCGATGACATTGTTATATCTCAAAGAAAGTATGCATTGGATATTTTGGAGGAAACTGGGTTGATGAATTCAAAGCCTCGTTGACACACCCATGGATCCTAATACCAAACTCTTGCCAAATCGGGGGAGCCAATGTCGATCCCGAACAGTATAGAAGATTAGTTGGAAAATTAAATTATCTTACAGCTTACTCGCCCGACATTTCCTTTGCGATCGGTGTGGTGAGTCAATTCCTCAATTCTCCTTGTCAAGATCATTGAAATGCGAGTCATCCGTATATTGAAGTACATCAAAAAGTCTCCTGGAAAAGGTTTGGTGTATGACTCCCATAATCATACAAGAGTTGTCTCGCTATTCGGATGCCGATTAGGCAGGATATCCCTCCGATAGAAGATCTACATCCGGGTATTGTGTTTCCATTGGTGGTAACTTGATCTCATGGAAAAGTAAGAAACAAAGTGTTGTGGCAAGATCCAAGTGCGAAGCGCAGTATAGAGCTATGACCTCAGCCTACTCGTGAACTTATTTGGCTCAAGCAATTGCTTAAAGAGCTACAATTTGGAGATGTCACTCAAATGACACTAGTGTGTGACAATCAGCTGCTCTCCATATAAGCTCTAATCCTGTCTTTCATGAGAGGACTAAACACATTGAGATTGACTCGCCATTTTATTCGGGAAAAGATTATGTCTCGGAGACATCAAGACCGAGTTCGTTAACTCATGTGATCAATTAGCAGATATTTTCACTAAGTCTTTACTGGGACCTAGGATGGATTATCTTTGTACCAAGCTAGGCACATACGATTTGTATGCTCCAACTTGAGGGGGAGTGTTAGATATGATTAGATATTAGTTGATATTGTTTGATATTGTTGAGATATTGTTAGATATTGTTAATCACAATATCAAATAATATCTTTTTATTTACCCTATTTGTATTCTGTTACTTTTTTGAGGAGTACCTTTCTTTATTATAAATACACTGCCCTATGTGTGGTAAACACATAAGGGAAATTAACCCTATACAGTTTTTCCCTATATTCAACATGAATTTTCCTAATTTAAATTTCAAAAATTCTTGAACTAGAAACATATTTTCCCCACTACATTTATTTTTTGGAAACAATTGTGGTTTTTAAGCCAGAATTGTAGTGCAAGGCAGGGTTTCTCCCTATGCTAACAAAGAGTTCTGCATTCAGCAATTAGTAAAACTACCCACAGAATAACCATCTCCAAGCCCATTAAACATAAAACATCAGGTGCTAACTGTCACACCATTCTATAACTGCCTAAATAACTGCATAAGAACAGAAATAATATTTGGGATTTTACAAATTTTCTCAGCCATACCCAACCATATGCATTGGGATTATTCCCATCAAAATTAGTCAGTTCCATTCCACTAATGGGAACCCCAAAATAACTAAGGTGTACATGAGAAAGAAAGAAGGTGTGATGCAGGGGATCATATCCAAGAGAGAAATGTAGTAACTAACTGCTGAGTTTGCATTGGCTGGAATCAGAGATGGGATTCTGTTGTAATAAGTTTAGCACCTGTTTAGAAGAGGGAGGAGAGTGGACAGGAATTGGCTGGGATTTTTGGGAGACACCAGGCACTCTCAAAGTGCCTAGAATATTTCATTTCCTTTCTTTTCCTGTATGTTTTTCATATTCTTGATTTAGTTTTATATTACAATCTAGATTTGAGCCAACATATGGAGTCTGAATTGGCCTGGACTTTTTGGGAGAGTCCTTCCTGGCACTCTAAAATTGCTTAGTGTATTTCGTTTTTTTTTTTCTTTTTCTGTGTGTTTTTCATATTCTTGATTTAATTTTTATCTTCCATTCTAGATTTAAGCCAACATGTGGAGTCTGAATTGGGCTGGAAATTTTGAGAGTCCTGACACTCTCAAATTGCATAGTGCATTTCGTTTTCTTTCTTGCTTTTTCTGTATGCGATTTTCATATTCTTGATTTAATTTTTATCTTCCGTTCTAGATTTGAGCCAACATATGGAGTCTGAAGAGAAAGACCAGAACTTGAGGCCAGATTCTTCTCTGGCTGAAAACCCTGAAATAATGCCACCATCTAGTATGCATTGCATGGAAGAGAATGATGCCATGCTCAAAACATCTGTTCCTTCATGCGAGATAATGACATTGAAAAAGGAAGAACTGCACCTGAAATATGACATTTCAAATGATGCAAAATCAAGAGAAAATCCGACTTCTGTTGAAGATTGCAAAAGTCAAGGATTAGATGTTGATGTTGAAAATGCTGGATCACTTCTGCAGAAGGAAACACTTGGAGTTTACAGTGAGGCAGGTTGCAATACGAAAGCTAATTTGAATAATGAGAATGATATTGATTCAAGGGCCAGGGCCACCAAGTCATCTAGTGACACTGGACAAGGTATGGTTACTGGCCTCCTTCCAAAAGATTGTCTTGTTGAGGATGCTTATGGTGGTCAGAATTCTAGTAACAAAATCACGCAGTTAGAGATAGTGTCAAGGGATGATGTGAAGCAAATGCCGTCAAGGTCTGGTCATTTTGGTTCAGTATGTTCTTTTACATTGTAATATTACCAATATTCAATTCATACATCATGCTGTCTCTTCTAGAAGTAATTCTCTCTCCTTTACCAATTGTTTAAATTGGTACCACATAGTTGCTAACCATTAGGTTTTACTGATAATTCCTCCTGGTAGCAGGACTAGAAGTCTGTCTCCCAGTGCTGAGATTAGAAATGGAAACAAACGCCCCAAAATGATATGTGACTTTTTTGCTAAAGGATGGTGTATCAGAGGTAGTTCTTGTAGCTTTCTTCATATAAAAGATACCGAGGACAAGACTGACCAGGAGGCTGAAACTGACGTAGATACTACTCATCAGAAGAGAGAATTGAAAGTTGAAGAAGGTATATCATATAATTCGATTGGTCAAGATATTCAGGAATCTATTCTATAATCACATTTCTAACTAAGATATTCTCCTGTAATAGGTGTTAGGGAAAATGTTCAGAGATCAAGGATGGTTAGTACTCTAGCTTCATCTACTGCTTAACTTAAAAGCATATCTGTGCATTCTTCTGAATTTCCTTTAAATATGAATGAGCATGCAGAATGATTACGAAGCAATCCCTAGTTGGCATCAATCTCAAGAAAAACAGAACTTTAAGATGAAGGATAACTTGTTTTCAGATAATAGATTTGCGTTTAGTTCAACAAACAATTTTTTCAGCCCAAATCAGGATGGAATAGCTACTCTTCGGAACCAACATATGTACAAAGGATATGCTTCCACTCTTTTGAGCCATTCACCAAATTCAAGCCTGGTTACTCAATTTCCAGCTTCAAGTATGTCACTCTCTCACAGGATTTCTACCCAATCAGGATGTTCATTGCCTCTTAGTTCATCTTTGGGTGCTAGTAATGTGAATTCTCAAAACCTTTTGAACACTGATAAAGAATGTCTCACCTCTAAGTCCACTTTCTCTGGTTCAGGGCGGGAAGATTTTCCTCTAGTTAGTTCGTCCAGGGTTCCATCTTATCCTACTGGATATAAATCAAAAATCTGTTCTTATGATTGGGAACCTTCTGTGCCCTTTCGGCCATCTTTTTTTATAACTTCCATGAATGTATCATCTGCTGGAGATCTTTATGACCCTCTTCGTGATAGCATTGAGATACCTAATATAGGGGATGGGTCTTTGAAGGCTTCCCTTTTAATTCAAGGATCAAATGTACAGGCTTCATCACAGGTTCAGATATATGGTAATTCTGATGTAGTTGGGAAACACACGCCCAGTCTTAATGATGACAAAAGTTCTGTATCTTCTCATAATAAATTTAATGAAAATGACCCAAACAACAATTATGTTCCTCATGAAAAAGATTATCTTCCTACTGAAACAGAGATAACTTCAGGAACTTATGTAAACTATCAAAACGATAGAATGGGACAAAATACCTTTTGTATTGCAGATAGTACAAAAAAGGAGAGAGACATGACTGAGCATGATGCTAGACGTCACAGTGAAGGATCAGGGCACAAAACAAAGAGAGTAGACAGGGATAAGAAAAATCATGATATGGACATTGATGTTCAGATGGATGGCAGCACACAGAAGGAACCGAAGGCACTAAAAATGTTACGTGCAGCTCTTGTAGATCATGTAAAAGAGTTGTTAAAACCAGCTTGGCATGAAGGTCGTCTCAGCAAGGATGCACATATTATGATAGTCAGAAAATCAGTTGACAAGGTTGTTAGCACCATAGAGCCTCATCAGATTCCGACCATAGATACTGCTAAGCAATACGTTTCTTCAAGTCGGATGAAAATTGCAAAGCTGGTCAATGTAAGTGTCTTCTTTTCTTTTATACAGTGATAGTTGTTTTCCAATATTTAAGGTACATGCATATTGTTGTTTGATTGCGATGTCCTTTATTTGATAGAGATATCTTTTATCTGCAGGGATATGTCAACAAATATGGAAAATCTTGATATGCAAGGCAAACACCTTTCTTGTACAGTTTCTGATCAATTGCCTGATCCTAGTTCTTGAAATGTTCTGTCTGAAGCTCTCTTTTCATACAGAAGGTTGATTTGGAATGTTTTGGTTTTGAATTTTCTTTCAAAATATTTACTTGTTGTTTTATCCATGCTTTCTCTTGTTTGGTCCATTCTAGAGTAAACTTGCATGAATTGCATGTTTTATGTGGATACCTCATTTTCCTTAATTTACATGATTACGTTTTGTTGTTTAATAGCATTTGGTCTAATTTTTAAGCACCTGAAAATTATTGCCAGCTAGCTGCTTGAAAAGACTAGCAGGATGCATTCTGCATTTTGTTTTCACGTGTCTGAAATCTGCAAATTATTGTAAATATATTGAGGTCTAGTACTTTAAATCCCGGATGGCGGTGTGTATTGGCCAGCTCCAAAACGCACTAGCAGGATAATGAGGTAGCCACTATTTTGATATGTTTTATGTAGTTTATATAACATATACTATATAAATTCTCAAAAAAGATAAAAGTTATTGAAAATTCATAATTAACAATAAAAAAGTCAGAGGTGTCTTATACTATAAGTAACTACAAAAGAGTCTCAAGTACGGGTTTCCTAGATAGGAATAATCAATCATTATCTTCATAAATTTCTATTATGCCGAAGGTGTAGGAGCAACACCTCTCCCTCGGTCTGGTTTGCTGCTTAGTGTATGTTAAAAGTCTGACCCACACCAGCTAAATTTGCAATAGCTCATGAACTCTGGTTGTTGTCATTATCAAACACCAAATCATCTTTGGCATTTTAGACATCCCTTACCTTTTCTCCCACTAATTTTCAGTTAATACCATGAGTATTATAGTAGTCAATCCTTGATAGGAGTGTGGAGTAGCTGACCTCAACAATGCGATAGTGGATAATGGGATGATTGTTGTTCTAATAATAAAAACTCATTGCCTAAACAAAACATAATGTAGATAGCAAGTTAGCAACCAAAGTCAAGGAAACAAACACAAAGCCAATGCCTAAAATCTTAAGTACTGTTTGATTGCATGATTTCATCCTAACTAGGGATGACAAAACATGTTAGGCTTGATGGGTTGGCTCACTAGCCTGCCTAAAAAATGATAGGGTGGGTTGATAGTTTTAGTCTGTCAGCCCGTTTTGGTTCACTTTGCCTAACTTGCCATTTCGGCGGGACAAAGGCAGAGCAGGCTGGCTTATTAGCCTGTTTTAAAGAAAATATATATTAAAATTAAAATAAAAAATTATAATTAAAATATTATAACATTTTTATGTTATATTATTGAAATATGTAAATATACTATAATTTAAATTATAAAAATTAATCAATTAAATTTAAATTATTGATTATAATTTAACTCATAAATATAGTAAATTTTTAAATTTATCTAATAAAAATATTAATTAACAAATAAAAACTTAAAAATTATTCATATAGTTAAGGAATATTTTTTTAAAAATACATATAAAAAAAATTATATTAAAAAAATTATTGGTGAATTGAATAGTTGGCCTAATAGCCCGCCCTTTGACGGGCTAGCTGAGGTCTGTAACCTATCCTGATTATTGCAGGTTTGCCCTACTCTGTTTTTAACGGGCTAAAGGCGGGACAAATTGACCCGTTTTGTCATCTTTACCTAAAACTAATTGGCATTAAGAGAAGTTGTCCAACACATATATAAGTCGCAAACTAAAAATCGAGCTAGGCATTGTGAGACTTCTCAATACCTCCCTCCATAGAGTAGGCAATTACTAAGATGAGTAATAGGCTTCAATGCATGTTAAATTTCATCTTAAGATCAATTGGCAATAAGCAAAGTTACTTAATAGATATATAAGTTGTACTCCAATAATTGAACCAACTGACGTGAGACTTTCCAACACCCCCTTCCCCAGAAGCTCTATAGAGCTAGGATGCTTATCAAAATATACTCTAATATTATGTCAAATATCAAATTTTATCTTAAAACCATTTAGCTTTAAGCAAATGGCCAAAAAACACACACACACACACACACACACACACTCACTCACACACACACACACACACACACACACACATATATATATATATATATATATATATATATATATTTGTGTGTGTGTATGTCACATTCCAATAATTTAGGCAGGGGATGTGAAATTTCCCAACAAGTACCCGACATTAAAATTTATGTACAATTTCTTCTTAATTGGAATCTTCATCCTTTTTGTTAAGGTTCCAACATAAAACCAATTGGCAATATGTGGAGTAGCCTAACATGTATTTAAACCATACCAAATGATATGAGGTAGGCGATGTGGGACTTTCAACACACCCCCTCCAACGAAGCCTGCCGGACCAGGCAAAGGGTACTTTTGACCCAACTAAAGGGCAACTTTTAGCCCATGACAATAATCGGAAAGATGTTAGGCTTTGGCTCTGATACCATGTTAAGGTTCCAACATAAAACCAATTGGCAATATGTGGAGTAACCTAACATGTATTTAAACCATACCCAATGATATGAGGTAGGCGATGTGGGACTTTCAACACTTTTCAAAATTAATGCCATATTTTTCTTCTTCATCACTCTCACTATTAGTGTTGTAAATCCCTTTGTCCCCTTCATATTTACTTGTTCTATCCTCTTCTTTCATCACATCCATTCCCTTTTCCATCCAAAATGTAGATGCGCACCAATTATTGTCTTCATCATTCTTTTGCCTCCTAATGTATTTCAATGGTTCCCATTCCTATTTCATTTGCAACATTTGTCTAAGTCATATTACTGTAATCACAAGCCACATCATCTTCTACATTTTCACCATATCCACCCATTTCTCCCACTATCCACTCATTTCTATTGTAGAATTTGAAATTGTATTCACATAATGAAAAAAAAGGAGTAAAAGGATAATAATATAAAATCATAATAGTTCATATAAATTATATTTTTTGATGCTGTAGAAACATAACTACTACCAATCTCTAATGAAGAGACTCCAATTGCATATGTTTACAACCATTTGTAAGGTTATGAGGACAAACATTATAAACATGTAAAGGAATATCTTTTGAAGCTCCCCTTTCAGCTACATTGTCAACAATATAGTTCCTTTCTTTGAATGTATTGAAAAATTTGAGACCAATATCTTGTTGTAAAGGATTTTGTTAGAGATCTCACATTGACTAGAGATATGATCAAATTACAATATATAAGTGGGTGCAATCCTTACCTTACAAACTTTGAGACCAATCTCTTGTTGGAAAAGATTTAGTTGGGGATCCCATATTGTCATATAATATATAAGTGGGTAAAAACCTTATCTTACATGCGAGTTTTGTGATGTTAAGTTAGGCTTAAAGTCAATTTCTAGTATGGTATCATAACCTATCTTAGCAAGATCTCTTGGGCTTATTGTGTTACTTGATATTAGACCATCCATAAGTATCTAGACTCACGCTCAAGATGTCTAGTTCTCTGCTTAAGGGGTCATGTTGGAGATCCCAATTGACTAGAGATATGTCAGGTTATAACATATAAGTGGGTGCAAACCTTACCTTACAAGCTAAACTAATTTTGTGAAGTTAAGTTTGGGTTAAAGTCCATTTTCTAATAGATTTTATCTTCACCATTGGAAGAGCATAAGGATAGGTTGGTGGTAATCCATGTTGAATCAATATAAGCACTGACTTGGAATTACACTCAAGCTTTTGAATCACCTTGTTCCATGCAAATTGTAGATCACTGAGAATAAGATGCAAAGCTAGCATTCATGATTATTTGTACTTCAATTAAGCAAATCCATGTGGCCTTTTAGTATGTGTAGGCTTCTTAAGTCGTCTCAGTTGATGATGTTGGAAGCATTTTTGCACTTTGAAGCCTTGCTATCTTGCTTTTTGTCTTCCTCATCTTGATCATTTTGCATCCCCTCAAATTATCTCTTTTTACCTTTTTTTCTATTCACAACCGACCATCAATTGTTGTTTAATATCCTTTGGCATTTTCCTACATGCACCCATGTCCCCTTTCATTTCCATTTGATGTTGTATTTGCTTATACTAATTCCAATTATTGTAATTTTTAGGCAAAAATCACATCAACACTATGCCATTATATTATTGGGCGTAATGCAAACAAGACACAAAAACACAAGAAAATAACAATGACCAATGGAATGGCAAGAAAAGAAAAAATGAAAATAAAGAACGAATTTATACAAAAGTACAAGAGAAAGCGTGTGATATAGAAATAAGAAACCATTACATATAAGAACATGTGAACCATGTAAGAAAAGAAAAAGTGAAAAAAGAAAAGAAATAAGAAACCATTACATAGAGTGGTTGCATAGAAGAACAAATGTGTGCAGGAAGAAGTGAGAATGTGTTACTATGTTAAGATAGTATAAATACTCAAGTAAAATCTCCAAAATGCCCTTATTAATGATTATAAAATGAAGGTATGTTGGGGGATTTCAAGGGAGCTTCACTATTGTCGGGGAGGCCATAATATGCAACCTTATCCTTGCATATACAAAGCCTTTTTAGATTCAAACCCATGACCAACCAATTACCAAGATACAACTATATTGTTGTACCAAGGCTTACCCTCCGAGTGAATCTATATCTATATTATATTAAAAAAATGTTGCTTTTACAATTATTGTTTGAAAACTCTATATATTTAAATATTTTCTTATTAAATCACATTCACACATTTAGATGAATTCTAAGTCTAGTTCAATACTTTAATGGTAAACTTTTTTGAAGATTATGAGTGTGCAATCCATAGTTCCTCCATAATTCAGTTGCAATACATGAAATGTTATGAATTTAAACTTATAAAAAGAAGAAATGCACTTCACACATACCTAGAGTGTTAACGATGTGATTTGATTCTATTAAATAGAGAAATTTGATATGATCTTATTATATCAAACAAGGAAATTCCTTACCAAATATTTCTTATATTAGCTATTGATTTTAT